CTATGAACATCACTGGAAGAAATTCTAATGTAGGAGGAAGTGGCTGTCCCTCTGAGCAGGAGCCCTGCTGGGCACCCAACATGTTAGAAGTCTCAGATCTTAGAGACACTGTCTCTAAAACCAACCTGTATCAAAATTCTCTCCTATACACATAGAATGCATGACCACTTTCTTTTCAGTAGTCTTTCCTGTAAATGAATGTACATGCATGTATTGGCTGCACTAGCTAGCTTAATTCCATATCTGACAGAATTTCCCACCACCGTTTTTTGATCACCAAATTATGCCAAGTGAGAATTTTCTTTTAATGGATTTTATAATCAGCTAGAAGGCTTTAATACCAAACCATTATTTTTAAATGGTTTAATGAAATTATTAACATTTATTGAATGTTTCATCTGTTGAAGTGCTTATCTACTTTGATTAAAGCTTTGTCCTATCATTACCTAACCCCATGGCAAGTAACCTTGTCCTCTGCTACCCCATCCCACCCCTGGTCCAGGCAAGCAGAACTTCCTGGGGCTGTAGACTCTATTAGTGTCCATGTGGGACACGTGGAAAGTATTGTTAAAAGAACCCATTGTCAACACTCAGCATGAAGGACAGCTTGCTCTGATACAACCATCTTCTTTGAGCTGCTGAGCCTCTGATCAATCAACAGTTATTTATTTGGCTTCAGTTAAGGGCTCAGCAAAGTCCTGTGTGTCCTCTGCATACACGAGCCAGGCTAAGGGTAGAACATCAAGTTGCATCTATCGACCTTGAACCAGCTCTCAAGGTTTGAAGAAATTCAATGGCTGACACAGATGAGTTAAGTCATCCGAGGACACAGAAATAAAGCCAGAAACATCCAGTGAGAGGATGGAAAGTACTGGGATAGATTAGAGAAATCAACAAGAGAGAGAGAAATGTAAACTCAAGTGAGAAACTTCTACAACCAAAAACAAGTCTATGCTTATGCTTTGTATGTTTGTTCCACTAGTAAACTATCAATACAAATACATGTTCGTCTGTATAATAGTTTGCCACTTTACTGTAATCAAAGAATATGTTTGATGATGAAAATTATTTACTAGTATTTTAGTTTGATCATCGTAACTACATGTGTTTACATTGATTTGACATTTATATAGAAACATTTAAGACCTAAAATTAAAAGTAGGAATTATTGAGTTATTGGAATTTATCCATTGAGAAATCACAGTCTTACTTACACATTATCACTTGCATTTTTGCATTGGGATGTCATGCTGCCATCTCCTTTTTTCATGCTTATTTATAATATACTTTGACCACATTGTTCCCCTCTATTACCCTTTCTTATTCTCCCTCCAACCTTCCCTTTCCCCTTTTACACTCCTAATGTCCCCTTTACTTTCAAGTTCCCCCTTCGTCTCCACATGTGAGAGAAAATGTGCCACACTTTGAGAATGACTCATGTGACTTGCCAGGGTAAAGCCTCAGCTCAGGTTCAGGTCCTGGACCAGGTAAGGGGCATTGGCACAAGGAAAACTTCTGACCACCAAGTGGATTGCATTCAAATGTTGTGAATAGCTCAGACCATCTTTATTTATACTTAGAGTCTTTTCTTACCAGAGTTGCATGAACAGCTTTGTTATTGGCTTCTATTTTTGACTTTAAGAAATGCATCACAGTTTAAGGAATAATCTGATGAAAGCCCCATTTTTTCCTTTATGCTTCTCCAAATACCCTTCCCACCCCATGGACAACCTTATTCTGGACATAGAGTTCAGCAGTTTTGTAAGATTAACTAAATATCGAGCCAACATGTCATGTCTTACAGTACTTATGTCAGCTGGCAGTTACTTGAGGTTACAAAGTCTAAAAGCAATAGACATGAGCACAATGTTTAAGGACAACAATATTCAAACCCAGACAATTATTTCATGTCTGCTATATATGTTTTTATATAGTCCCCTTTTTCTACATAAGGGTCCCATGTCTCAATCTCTCTGCAAAAGGCAAAAGCACTCTTTTCCCACCTCAGTATACCATACTTCTCCCACCAAATAAACTCCTATGTATGTGTGGTAAAGATGGATCTATCCATCCCTTATTTTACATTGCATTATTCCCATCAGAATATACTACATCTTATCATTGATTCCATATGATTGGTGCCCAGGAAACTTACTCTCAACAGTTGGCACTATGTGTATTCCTGAGGACTTTTCCCTATTCTGTGTTTGCATGCCCTACTCTCTTTTCCAGAACTGTGAGGCATGGTTAATATTCCAAGTGTTGTTTCCTCATACGTACCTACTATTTCCACTGAGTCAAAAAAGCTCCAGGACTAGGAGTTTTAGTTAGTAATTTCAGATATGACTTGGACTTTTGGGGTATATACCCAAGAGTGGTATAGGTGGATGGTGTGATAATTCTAGTTTTGTTTTCTTGAGGACCCTCTCTTCTGACTCTCACAGTGTCTGGGCTAATTCACCTTCCTAACAGCTGTGTGTAAGTGTTCCCTTTTACTGCATTCTTGTCAAAGATTTGTTTTCATGGAACAAATTGATAATTAGCATAATTCACCTGTCAACTCTTTAGCCATTCAGAATGTTCCATTTTATGAGTAGCACAGATTTGTTGTGTCTACAAGGGCTTAAACTCATGACTTAGGTCCCATCTCTACTTTTATGTCTCGCTATCCTATAAAATGGACAATGACTGACTGTGTTTTACCCTCTTAGGGCTTCTGAAACTCAGGGTGACCCTCCAGTCAAACCTCATAACTTCATGTTTTCCTTTTTCCTAACTTTAAGTTTTATTTTTTATATGTTTAATGGAGTTGCTTCTTATTGATGAGAGCTTGACTTTGTATAAGATTTTTCTTGTCAGACAGAGAGGGGGAAGTACTTGGGATGCTTAGGAAAGTGTAGAAGGTCAGCTCGGGCCTGGGTGCAGGAGACAGACTGTGTTTGAAGGTTTGTTGAGGCTGTGGCACATTCTGGAATATATGACAAGTTCCTAAAATTGTCTGTACAAAAGCCCTTTGTTCTCTAGTCTTCAACAGCCGTCAATAGCTTTGACTTTGTGGACCTTCTCTCCTACTTGTGGTTGTTTTCTTTGTTGGAGAAGTTTGGGGTGCTTGGAGAGAAAGGACTAAGAAATGGATTAGCTGATCTTGACACAGATTGTAAAACTTTTCTCCTGAGATCAAACTTCAGACAAGGGAGTTCTTCCTAGAGACAGCATTCTAGAGCAGGGCTTCATACAGTTTTATGGAATCTTCAAACCTCTTGATGATTTTCCCATTCTGCCTAAAATGCTCTACAGTGTGTATTTATCTCTAAGTATAAATACCTAAGAACTTGGTTTTGAGGCTGCTTTTTGAAGACATTTGAACTCATTAAATTATCATTGTTACATATATGTGTACATACATTTATAAATATTTCCAACTGTAGAAGACATAGTGTTGCTCATATGTGTTTAGGGCTGATCTCTTGAGATTGGTGAACCTTTCAGGGGGTCTTGTTCCTGAAGAAGACCCATTCTCTCTCACACAACAGTCATTAATTGCGTGTAGGTCTTGTGTGAAGAGAACCTTTTAAGAATCCCTCATCCACTCTGGCATGTCAATTGGTGTTTTCTGTATTTTTAGGTTTTATTTAGGCAACCATATTTTTGTGATTTTGATATGGTTTCCCTGCCATTTATAGAAAACACCATCTCAGTCCTCTGGGTCTTATAATCTTCCTATGTCTCTTCCATTTTGGTTACTGAGACTGAGGTGTGGGGATTGTCTTGTGTAAAGTATCCATTGGGGCTGGACACCATACAGTCAGTTCTCTGTATTTTGACCAGTCATGAATGCACTCTTGAAATAACTAATTCACCCTAGCATAGGATGGACTATTGGTTCACATGACCTGCCCCATCACTGTTCTAGCCTAAGATGCTCATTCCCTGCAGACAAATGTTGGAGGGAGCCATGAATGACAGACTTTGGTCTAGAAGCCAAATTTGTTGTGTCCTAGTAACATTTTTTTTTCCTTTATTCTATAGTGGTCCTTTGATTTTACTAGGCCAGTGGCCCAGCCCCAAGATTCTGCATGCAAACAAAATGAAGGTTTTATTTTAAATGGCTGGTTCCATTTACCACCAGATGGCACTATGGTATTACAAGGAAATGCATATGTGTTAAACTGATGGTGTCATAAACCAGAGGGAAAAAACAAAGCAGCTATCTTTAGAGTGTATAGGACCACAATTTACTCTTTGTAAGGTTGATTAGAATCTGCTGTCCAGCCAGAGTACTAGCAAGAAAATGACACATCCTCAGGGAGGTCAGAACACTTGCTCGAATCAGAGTCTTTCTGTTGTAAGTTTTCAAATTGACCTGTGAATAGTGGTTCCCACATTAGCCAAAGAATGGTTAGGACATTCTTATGGTTCAGTGTCCAATCTATAAGGAATTCTAAACCAACTCTCTACTCATCCCATAGCTCATAGAGAGTAACTTTAGAGCAATTTTGAGAGGTTGATGTGGCTTTGGGTCTTATTAGCTAGCTGTGGGAAGACTGAGCTCATTCTAAACCATTGTTGTCCTTTTTCCTGTCACTTGGAACAAACAGGTAAAAACCAAAGGGCACACACATCTCTGAGTTCAAATGACCTTCATGAAAGATGGGTGTTCAACACATAGCATGTAGGTGACACTTCCACTCTGGATGGGAAACTTGTATTCTAACCTCTTGAAGAACAAAAGTTGCAAAAGAACCAAATTCTAACACAGGCAGGTTTGTTCTCTCTTTTGGCGCTTGTTCCTTGTTCCTTATTTTTTGCCTTCCCCTTAGACAGAGTTGTTTCTTATAGCAATCTGCTATTTTGTTAGTAGTAGCAAAAGAAGGATGGTACGAGTCTATGAAGGAAACTTGCCCTTAGTTCAGAAAGTTGTTCAAAGAGTTCTCACCAAAAACAAAAACAAACAAACAAACAAACAAAAAAAAACAAAAACCTTGATTCTTGTTTTGAAGGAAAACTCACCAATGAGTGGACAGACGGCTGCGTTTACTTTGGAACAGCTGGAGCACTTGGAGATTTGCCTGAAGGAAGCAGAAGAAAAGGCTAAAGTTCTATTGGAACAGGTAAGACCTGTCACGGGGATGGAGATATCTGCTGCCTGGGCTGTAGGGGAGCAAGTTAAATGCTTCAGCTTCTGTCCCACTGACCCAACACAAGGAGCACCACACACACACACACACACACACACACACACACACACACACACACACACACACATGCACACAGGCATGCACACACACGCACACACATCTCCTTGGTTTTCAGCCTAACAACACCTCCTCTAATCTGCAGAGAGCTTTTTCAGCCTCTTTAGTCTTTTTTTTTTTTTTTTATTTTTTATATTTGTATTTATTTGGTGTTCATTCACTACAAGGCCCTCTAGGAGTTGAGCACCTTTCTTAAGTAGGTGGTTTCCCTGAATAAGCAATGTGTACCTGTATTATAAATAGATAAACACAGAGGTAAATGAAAACCAAGCAGAACCACACAGATTTTTCTTGAATGGTTTCAGGAAAGTTTAGTGTGAAAAATGGTCTTCAGATAATGGCTTCTCTCTTGGGTTTTCTAGAATTAAGCAAAAGCAGGTCATGCATGATACTTGTCCTACAATGATTGGACATTGCATGGCAGATTTTCCCTTGATTTTTAGGCATAGTGAACGTGGCTATCAGAAATTCTCGGTCTAGGGTTGGCACTATTTCCTAATAATGCCACATCTTGGGGGCAAAAAAATACAATGCAGTGGTTGTTGACATGAACTTAGAGTGCAAATCTTCCCAGAGCTGGATCTCCTCGTGGGACACAAGGCCACTAATGCACACCTTTAAGGGCAGTGAGTGTAAAGAAAAGGACAGGAGACTCTGAATGCTAGAAATCTGTATTAATTTCTCATGGGTTGGAGACTTGGAAAGACCTGGGGGGACGATATTTCATGAGATGTTTTAGATTAACACCAGTACTTATACATCTGAATCGTACAGGAATGTTTTTAGGGACTTGTGGGAAAAGGAGCATGCGTGTCATGAGAAGAACTATACTTGGCATTTGATGGAACCAAACAGCAGCCTTTATTTTCTTTTAAATTTACAAAGCCAACGTATTATTTGGGGCCGCTTATTGTGTAGTGACTAAATGTGATCAGTGCTGTGAGTTTTATAGGACTTTTGTCAACCACTGAAACTGTGGTACTCTTTTGGGAGAGTATTCACCACAGACCTGTCTTGTCAACTGTGGTTTCCCTAAAATAAACCTCAAACAATAGCAAAATCATAAATGACATAGAAAATAGTGGTGGACACAAAAAGACTATTTCTAACTCCTCCCAAAGGAAACCAGAATTTCAGAGAAGTTTTGAATGAGTAACTAAAGGAAAATTCCCTGCACTATGGTGTGTGTTTATTTTACAATCAAATGCTTTTATGACCAATTCCCTCCCTCTACTCTCTGAGACAAGTTGTTGTTATATGGTCCAAGTGACCTCAAACTCATTCTTTATCCAAGGTTGGCCTCAAGTTCAGGGCAATTCTCCTGTCTCAGTATCTGGAATGCTGGGATTAAAAGTGTGTCTCAACACACTCAACTTTGACTTTTTTTTATTAATATAAGTGACAACTTATGAAATTTTTTTATTAAGTATTTTTATCTGACACAGACCACTTGAGTTCTTAACTGGAAGATTCCCTTGATGTAACACCAAATAATTAGCTGTAGTTTTTCAGCATTTAGGAAATTAAGTGGAAATTAAAATGGACAGGATTTCATCCACATTCTTTGTTCTGACACAGTAGGCAGCTGGTGAGCTGCTTGGGGAAGAAAGGTGTACAAGCCTGGTTCTCCATAGCTCACAGAAAAGAGAATCGGAGGACAGGTAGAGAGGGGAAGTGGGTTCTCTCATGACTCCAGGTGAGAGGTGAGGCAACATTGTTTTACTGTTGTGACATTCATAGTTCTTGACATTTTAGACTTGTGTGGTGAAGTGACTTTAGCTAGAAGCTGGCAAGAGTGGGAGGATAGGAAAGAATTATGTGTAAAACACATTGCAGGGATTTGCAATATTGCATTTTTAATTAAGTTGAGCATTTTATTACATTTGGCTGCCTCTACCACTGCTGTTGAAGCAGATCAACCAAATATAAACATGGCTCTCAAAGGGGTGAACCCTGGGGCTTTTGGCTTCCTGCTCTAACCTTATCTTTGAAAAGATAAAGAGCTGTATGTAGTTAGCCGAATCTGGTAGGCAATTGGTGGCAGAATTAGTTTTGGATGTCTATTGGGTACTGTAACTTGAAAATTGGGAGTTAGAGTTAGTAGAATAGGTAAGCGTGCCGAACTTACTGGCCTTGGAAGAAATGTCATGATACCAAGCCAAGGGTTAGCTCAGAGGAAACCAAGCTGATAGCTCAACTTTTTCCAGCTATTGTTTCTGTCTGGTAGAGATGAGCCATAGTCAAGGCACAGCAAGGGGCCTCCTATGGCTTCCATAAAGCAAGGCTTTTCGGTACAAGAAATGGAGAATGACAGAGACTGGAGAAAAAGAGAGCTGTGCTTTCGTTTTTCATTTGGGAGAAAGCAGTATGGGCTTTAAGACCTTTTGTTCCAGGTGGACATCATATTCCCTTTAACTGATGACACGGACATTTCATAAGGCCCCAAATTATATTCCTAGCTGCCACCTCGTAGTTTATCCCACAGTCATGTTACATACAAAGAAAAGTAGTTTCCTTTTTCTCCCAGAGTCTCCCTGCATGAATACCTCTTATCTTAGAGGTTGAAAGAGGCAATAATGAGGATGAAACAGAAAGTGGTGGGAGGCAACCTAAGCTCACAGGTGCATCCAAGAATTTCTCAAACCCTGGGCAATTACACTGTAAATGCTATGCAGTGAGTAAACGCAGCATCTTTTGTTTCCTTTTTAATAATCATATTTATTTTATTCACTTATTATGTATGTACATGTATGTGTGTGTATATGTATGTTCATGTGTTTAAATATGTGTATGTATGTATATATTTATGTGTGTATTGCTTTGTGTATATGTGTGTATGTGTGCATATATGTAGGTGTGTATATTTATATGTGCATGTATGTCTCTGTATGTGTGTGTGCATGAGTGTGTGTTGGTCAGAAACAACTTGCGGATGTTATTTCTCTGCTTCAGCAATGTGGGTCTCAAGGATAGAAGTCAGTGATCACCCAACTTATCTCCTTCTCACTTTCTCTCAAAAACAAAACAAAAATAAAAAACTGAAATCAAAGCAAATACAAATCAATAAGACAAAAAAATGAAGGCAACCTCTACCCCCCCACACACACACAAAGAACCACGGAGTTAGTGTTCTCTTGGAAAACTTCTCCTGGGTGTGGAGTCTGCCCAGTAGTGTAATTAATCTACCCAGTGTTGTTCCATTGAAGAAGACTTACTTTTCCATTGGAGAAAACCACTTTCCCTTTCCTAGATGGTATTGATCACAAATAGTTTCTTGGTTAGTGGTAGGATCCTGTGTCTATTCCCCCCATCCACAGTGCTAGGCCCTCATCTGGCTTAAACCTGTGCAGGTCTCATGTGTGCAGCCAAAGTCTCTGTGAATTCATGTGTGCATCAGTTCTGCTGAATTGTTGGCTAAAGGGGCACCAGAAGTACCACCGCCAAAACAAACAAAAAACCCCAAAACCATCACAGGCTCTTGCCAACACTACTGGATCCCCTTTAGAACTTAAGGTCCTGTTGCTGAAAATAAACCCTCACAGTTCTTAAGAGTATGGAAGTCCAATGGCAGAGAAGATTTTTATCTACCCTATAGCGTTGAATAAGAATTTCTCTTGATTCTTCAGCTGGGGTTTCCAAGCTTGAGGGCTTACTGGCCAGATTGGCAGGCCCTTCCTACAGGATTTCTGATTTACTAGGTATGGTGTAAGGCTTAGTAATTTACATTTCTATCAAGACCTCATCTAGTTTCAACATAGTTGCTATCCCAGAACTCAGAAGGATATTCTTCACTGTTACCTTGAATTCCACAACTGCGTGGAGTGACAATGTCATTTAGAATTCAGTTTGAGTGTGCTAAAGAGGCAACCCAAAAAAGGGAGGTATTGACTTTTCCTCACAGGAAGTGAGCATGGTGGTAGACACCTGGAGGCCTAAGCTTTGTTGCTTTTACATTCACGAATGTGGTATCAGTCCTCAAGGACCAAGAGGTCCTGCAGCTGCACCGCCCATCCACATGTCAGGCAGCAATGACATCAGGCAGCAATGACAGAAGAGGCAAACAAGGCAGGAATGCTTTGTCTGGAGACTTAGTTAATTCTCACATATCATTGACCCTTATATTTGCATTAGAGACGAGGAATACAAGTAATCATTGTCCCCACCACAAGCACTGGGATTCTTTTTTAAGGTAAAATGGTATTTAGTAAGATCAATCTCTGCCTCTGTAGCCAACCCATTGACCACACTGGAGCACACAGAGCTTTATCCCAGAGAACACCATGCTCTTCTGTGTAGAGATGGAGTGTTCCCAGCACCTCCTGTTGATGATTGAACCCTTTTACCACTGACTCATCCTGTTACCCTTGACAGAAACCTTAGCTGTCCTAGATGTCTTAGGTAACCCCTGAACTCTAAATGCTGTCCCTTGAGCTCTACCTGTGTGACATTCAGCAGCCATTGCTTTCTGGAAGTCCTATTTATCAAATTGTGCTGGGAAGGTATTTATGCTCTTGAGAAGAGACCCATTTGGGATATGCTACAGAGTAAGACAAGTGAAGTTTTCTGTTTGCTGTTCTGGTGCATATACCTGACGTAATAACTGCACTGCAAAGATAAATTAGCCACTGGATATCTTTTAAGCATAAGAAAGATATAGGGAATATAACCAGAAAAAAATATTGTCCTAGGAACTCTGTACACCAGTGTTCAGAGGAAATGTAAGCAAAATAGAGAGCTATATCTCAAGCTAGTAGAGAGTGACATGAACTGAACTCTAGAATACCCAACTTGTTAGAGCTGTGTGACAACGGAGAGGTACAAAGCATTAGACAGATTCTCTCAATCTTTATTTCAAA